CAACGCCGATTGGTCATTTTGAGCAAAGTTGGAGGACCCAAGTTACTTGTAGAAACTGGACATGACGCGAATGAGTAAATCCCAATGCCTTCCAAGCCTATGCAACAAATCCTGATGTGGTGCAACCAACACTCCCTCAATGCATGAATGATGTATGGACATAATCTCCAAAGGAGTAAAAATTCGGAGGCTATGAAATTAAGGATCTACATGTATGGTTTCGGCATTGTGAGCGTGAGGGCACCTCACTACTTGCCTTTTTATTAGCTGGAGATTCCATATGTTTCTTTACTTTCAGCACATGTTCCTAGCCAATTAGTAGTGGCCCACATTGCACATGTTCGGGTGAGTATTAATTTGTTTAGTACATTTAATGTATACCGTCTAAAGGAAGATTGTTTTTCCCCAAAAAAGGGAGGTGTTACGTGTACATGATGATAAACCATAATTTTTGTTCTTATTTTGAACAAACTAACCTTTGAATGAAGAGAAGAGCAGAGTTCAAAGCAGAGTAAGTATTTTAAAACATCTTCCAGGCATTTTAAAAAACAGGCTTCAAAAGCTTCGGAGAATTTTTTTATATATCTTCTAGGCAAAAGTTGTAATATGTATCTCATTTAAAGTTGAGCTCCAATGCTCGATTGGTTTGGGAATAAACTTTTTGTTGACAATCAAGAGAATCGGAGTTCTTGTTTCGTAGAAGTGCACAATACTTTACTTATTTTCTTTTTAACTCAGTACAGACACAAACATTCATACATACGCACATACATGCCCTATGAGCACCTCAGAGAGACTAAGCCGGCACATCATCTTAAGACTGATGAAATCGCCACAGGCGTCTTTGTAATCGACGGGAATGTCTCCTCCCACTAAACAGACATCGCTAGAAGACCTAAAATAAATTCAGAAAAATGAGAGCACCAGTGTTAAGTCTAGTACTTGAACTCTGGTGGGTTGAGGATACCACTGTCCTCATAACCATCCAATCATAGATTGGTCTGCTACTTTAATTAATTATGTGCATCAAGTTTGATTGATCCACCACAACTTAATTATATAATTATATTTATGATTCTAAGGGCCTCTTTCATTCAGGAGAATTTCAAAATGCATTAATAGGAAAAATACATGACTGGAGTGGCTGTCCACTTGAATTATATAAGGTTAGCAAACCATAGGAATTTGGACAAGAGGGTGTTTGATGCCACAAAAAATTTTGTAAAAAGAGGTTTGACTGGATGAAAATTTGTTTTCAAAATAGAGTGCAAAGCAATCCTTTGGAAATTTCCCTAAGGATTCCAATCCTACCAATCAAACATTCTGAAGATTGATGCAATGGACGCATGTGACGAGGAAATAAGTCGGTTTAAATAGCAACTTTAGTTTGAAATGCCTCTAGAATTGATCGATTGATGTACATGACAATTTCGAATGGTGCTACCATGACATTCACTGGTAGTAGTGATTTACTCCCAAGCTTGAACGAGCCTGAATTTGGCTTTGTGCTTTCTTCCATACGACCTTGAGTTTGCAAACAAAGAGAACAATCTTTAGTCATATGAACAAATCTTTAAACTTTCAACACAACTAGAGTATGAATGATTGCACTTGTCATATGTTGTTGTTGAGGGAGGTAGAAGGGCGGAACTTTAGTGGCCATCACTCAAGACTCCACAACCACTCCTCCTCTTTTCCTTTGTTGTGTGCATGTGTGCAAGAACGGCATGCGATACCAGCCTTATCCCCTCCTGGGAAGGGCAGTGGATTTTCCTAGATGGGTTGGTGTGCTCGGGTAGCTGGGCGAGGGAGGGTCCCAATGAGTCTTGAGCCAGGTGGCTCGGCACGACTTGAGGTTCTAATAAGTGTTTGGAGTAAGGCACCCAACACGCAGGGTGGAGGAGTGGTGAGCGCACCAAGTGTAACTATGGAGAGATCCGGGTTCCATAAGTGGCTCTGTGGTGGTGTCATTCAAAGGCCCGCTAAGCCTTACTTGAGGACGATAGTGGTCGCAGGTATCACCTTTTGGCTACTGATATGGTGTGGCCGGTGTGCTCCCCGCCCTTGTGCTCGGCTTCAGCGTACATGCTTTTTGAGAGTGAATTTTTGGTATCCCTGGATGGTGGGGTCCTGGGTCGTGGTTGTGCTTGGGTAGGCTACATGTATAAGTAGATCTAGCTACATTGGAGCGGGTATTGCATGAACAAGCGGTATATAGAATTCGAGATGGTGAAGTTAGTGAAGGCGGTCTACAAGGGACGCAATAAGAATTCTAGATGTCGGGACAATGACACCAAGTTGTAGTGGTCATTGGAGCTTTGTAATCGAAGGATTTCCTTGTGTTTTAGAGACACACTTTCACCTCCATAATTGTTTGGGTGGCCCAAGCCTGCTCCTTGCATAGCGGCTTTGGTTTCTCTCCCCTTTGATGCTCTAGTGAATTTTCTTCTGGGCTCCTTAGGAAGCATGCCATGATCTTCCCTCTCATCATTGGGTGGATCGCTCTTTTTGTGGATGGTACAATGCAACAATAGTTTTTCCTCTTCCACATTTGCTTGATGTGTTGGCGTGTATGGTCGTGTGTTTCGTATATCATTTTGTCGCTTGGAGGAAGGGGGGTTTGTCTCCATGCCCTTTATATCTACTTTTCAGCAGGTGTTATAATTAATAGTCAGCTCTTCTCTTCTGCTCCCTCCGTTACAAAATAGAAGATATATTAGTTTTTTAAGCCAAACATGAGCATGTTTGACCAAGTTTCTAGAAAAAATATCAGTATGTACAATATCAAATTTATATCATTTGATCCATCATGAAATTATTTTTATATTTTGTCTAATAAGTTGGTCAAACGTACAATCATTTGACGTTAACGAAAACTGATACACATTATATTCTGGAATGAAACGAGTATATATTTAGGTGACGCTCATGTCGGGTTTCTCAAAGAACAAGGCAAAACTAGATTACAAAAAAACTTGTATAGTTCCATGAGAAAATAGTTCAGTCACGTGTATTATCATTTTCGTAGATGGGGTGGTCCTCTCGGTAGCTGGGCAAGGGATGTGGCTCCAGGAGTGTTGGTTGTAGCCTCGCGGTCTTCGATAGGTGGTGGTGGCTGGGAAGGGGGAGTCAGGCTTATGCGGATCAAGGTGGTCAAGCACGACTCGAGGCTCTAGCAGGTGTTTGGAGTAAGGCGCGCATCATGCAGAGCAGGGGAGCGCGATGAGCACATCAGGTGTCGCTGGACAAGGATCCGAGTTTCAGAATTGGCTCTGAGTGGTGCCACAAAGGCCCACTAGGCCTTATTGGAGGACGACGGGAGTCTCAAGGCCCACAAAGGCACTTCTTAGGTTACTGATATGGGGTGGCTGGCGTGTTCCATGCCCTTGTGCTTGGTTTCAACACACAAACAATAAGGTTATGGTATGCAAGGATGGCGGTCCTAGGCCCTGGTCGTGGTTATCTAGGCTACGGATCTAAGTACATCTAGCTACGTGGGAGCATATCCTGCATGAACAAGAGGTAGATGGAAGTCGAGGTGTTGGCCTCAAAAGCGGGTGAAGACCATCTATAAGGGGCACAGTCTGTATGTCGAGACGACGACACCAAGTTGCGATGGTCATTGGAGCTTTGGAAGCGAAGGGCGTCGTTTGGTTTAGGAGACACACTTTCATCTCCACCTATGCGGGGTTGGCCCAAACCCACTACTTGCATAGCAGGTCTTGCTTTTCTCCCCTTCGATGGTCTAGCGAATCATCTTCCGTGCTTCTTAGGGAGCAATGTCGGGGTCTTCCCTTCCCACCCCTCCCTGGGCGGATTGATTCGTGGAGCTCGTGTGGAGGGTACGGGACAACATGAGTTTTTCCTCTTCTGCATTTGCTTGCCGCGCTGGTGTGTATGATCCCGCGTTTCGTATGTCATTTTATTGCTTGAGGGAGGGGTTGGATCGTGCCCTTTATATCTACTTTTCACCGAGGTGTTACAAAACTAGCAGTCAACTCCTCTCTTCCATATGATAAGCGCAGTATTAACAAAAAAAATCAACTCTTGGCCGCTGCATTCAAAGCAAAGGCCATAAATTTGATAAAGGAAAAAACGGAAGCCCTTTTTTGCAAAAACAATGGTAAGCGCAGTGTCCAGCAACAGTCTTCTATCTATAATCCACTCTATCTAAAAAGAAAAAAAAAAGGAGAATAAGAAAGGACCAGCAGCACACCCAGCGGCGACTGTCCTCCGGCGGAAGCCATCTCCGCTCCGGCGGACGCCCCTCCCTCCACCGAAGCGCGCCGCCTCGTAGGTACAGTACCCCCCTCTCGACCTGTCATCCATCCCTCTCCCGCGCTCCACCGGAATGGCCTCGTCTTAGATCCACCCGTCCCCAGCCTGGATCGATTTCTTTACTCCGTCGGCCGGCGACGAACCCTAGCTCTGCTCCGAGCCAGAGCAGCGCGTCCCAAAAATGTGTTTCCTTCTGGGATGGATGCCCCCCAGTCTCAGCTTGTCGCGGCCCCCTTTGGTGGGGCACTGCAAATCGCGGCTTGTTTTCCAAAAATCAATCATTTGGGGGCGGCCCCTCTTTAGGCCCGCCCTTGTCCCCTTGACACTGACACTAATCAGGCTGTCTTTTGTCTATACGCTAGCACTAGCAAGTTGCTGCATGATGATGTGCCATGTGTTGAAGCGCCTGTTTATTCTTTTTTTTCAATCTCGAGAAAAAAGCACCTGTTTTTTCGCCATCCCGAGAGGTTTCAGCACTGGCGGACCTCCATTTTGTTTGCTTTCCAGCTTTTAGCATAGATGGACAGATTTTTGCTTATCCATGTGAATGTGTATTTTTTCGACGATGTTCGTCAAGACTAAAAGTTGTCAACCTGCCTCCTCATGATAGCTTGGTGTTATTGGGGACAGGGAAGACTGCTTGAGAGTGTTCCTGGGCCCGGAAGCAGTCACCAGAAGAGAGCTGAAGGGTTTGTGTTGCTTTCCTCTGAACCAGTATAATAATGGCCACAAAGCTTGTGGTAAGGTTCTCAACTTAAGTTCCCTCAAGAAAACATTCTGTAGTGCATAAATGCATCTCTTGCTGTGTAACGACGATGTGTATTTAATGTGCATAGGTTTTTGGGCTCCCCTGGGATGTGGACAGCGAAGGATTACGAAAGCATATGGCCAAGTTTGGACCCCTGGAAGATTGTATTGTCATGAAGGTTTCCAGCAATTTCACATTTTATGTTAAATGCCGTCTGCTAATCCTCATTAATTTCCCCTTTCATTACAAATTATACACCCCTCCCTTCAGATTTGTGGAAAACCGTTACCTCTTATACTTTGTCTGTTTGGTAATATATTGCACATTTTATTCCTTTTAAGACCAAGTTTGTTTTGGAATACTATGTGCTAATTTTCTTTGTGATATGCTCTTTGAGATTTGGAATTGTTTTATGTTATCTTCCTTTTAAAGGAATAATTAAGATCTAATTTCCCAACGTACATGTCCAACATATCCTCTCAATTCAACGGTGATTAAGTTTCTGAAGTTGTAGCCCACAGCTATCTATACCATTCCTTGCCAAAAAAAAAATCTATACCATCATGCAGTGTTTACCAGCTCACAGCATGATTGGGTTATCTATACTCTGATTGCTGTACCGATTTACTCCAGTATATCTTGCTTCTTGAAAAATAGGATCGCTTTTCTGGTCGATCTCGTGGGTTTGGCTACGTAACGTTCTCATCGGCTGATGACGTCAAGGTTGTAAAATGAGTATCTGCCCATTCTCTCTATTTGACTTCATTGATTATACTCTTTTTCTCAAGCCATTGAAAGGTAGCTCAGTTACACCGTACTTATGTTAGGAAAATGTTAACACCTTTCCATTTACCTAATCTATTGTTTATAATTTGCAATTATTTACATCTGAATCATTTTTTATCACTCTTTCAGAATGTTCTTGAGTGTGAACATTTTCTTGGGAACCGACCTCTAGAAGTGAAGATAGCAATTCCCAGGGTAAACAGTACACACACATTTTCACTTTTTCTATTGTCCATTGACTCTACAATTAATTGGTGTCAAATTTTAGTTGAATAATGATCATAGTGCATTTTAATCTTAACACAGGAAGAACTGAAAGCACAGCCACCGGGAACAAAAACAGCTACTAGGATATTTGTTGGTCGAATTCCACAATCTGCAGATGAGTCAATGTTCCGTAGGTGAGCTGTAGCCTTGTCTGTTTTTCCATTCCTCATTTTCTTTGTGACTCTATCATCACTTGTCTGAACTATAATGTTTGCTTAACAGGCATTTTGAAGCATTTGGAGAAATTATCGATCTTTACATGCCAAAGGTTTGACAATCTGGAACTGATTTACCGCTGATGAATTTCTTGAAAGAAAATCTGAATTAGGGGATGTTCTGCAGCGTCATAATTTATTGCATATGTGTGTACTCAGAGGATTTGTCATGCAATTTTGAGCATGGATATGTTGGCATAAGGTCTAAGGTAGTCCTTGAAGTGCCACTGGATGTAGTTATATGAGTACGTACTTGTATGTCAGCACATATCTTCAGCCAGTGGCATTTCAAGGCCTACCTTAGACCCTCACTCTTATGTGGGTGCGTACTTTTAGTATTTTCTGAACCCCTCTAGAGGCATTCTTCTTATATTATACTCCGTCCGTCTGGAAATACTTGTCAGAGAAATAGATGTATCTAGATGTATTTTAGTTCTAGATACATATATTTTTATCCATTTCTGCAACAAATAATTCCGGAGGGAGGGAGTATTGGACAGTGACAGGGAAGATGAGGATTGAAAGTATATGAGCACACACCAAGAATTTTGATCTGTATTGTCCTGTTGATACAAACTGTATTAAGTTCCTGTTGTGTAAGTGCTTGCTGTGGTGATAGTAAATCATTGTTGCATTCATTGTAATGTGCTGTTGCCAGAATGGAAATAAACCACAGCTAGAGGTAGTATGATTTTACTCGAATGAATTCCATCTTTCTTTTTCATGTGTAGGAACATGGTTCAAAAGGTCATCGTGGAATTGGGTTTATCACTTTTCAGAGCGCAGGTATGTTTACTGCTATCTATGGATCTTCCAACATTCTTTTAGGCATGCAATTTATTTGTTCATGCGAGGGAACATCAATCTGAGGAAGTAGAATGATTGAGAATGTTATTGTTTAGTTGCCTAATTGGCATGAGCAGTACTACAGCAAAATGTTCCCTGTACAGTAATAAACATTAAATCGTTTTGTATATTTGTATGTTGGAGTTCACTGGCTGAGATGTGATGTTCATGCACATTACTGTTCACCATTTTAGTTGTGGTTTTGTGGCAGACAAGCATGTATGTTCTATAGTAAGATAGATTTGGAAATGTGAAATCGTATGCAATCAAGGACACCTTATCCACTTTTTTGGATCCATTTACAGTTGAAAGCTACTCCCTCCGTCCTAAAATATAAGAGCGTTTTTCATACTAGTGTAATATGAAAAACGTTCTTATATTTTGAGACAGAGGGAGTAGCTTGGAAATGTTTTCTTGTGCTCACTCTTTACGCAGTAGCTAATGTGCTCTTTCTCCTGAGCTTATATGTCCATGTTCTTTCTTCCTCATGATCTGTATTTGGTCTTGATTATTCCTAAATTTCATGTGATCACTCTGTTTGTGTTTATATTGCCTTATTTTCATCTTGGTCATAATTCAACAGAATCTGTAGACAGTATCATGCAAGAGTCGCATGAGTTGGATGGAACAACTCTACATGTTGACCATGCAACTCCAAAGGTACTTATCCTATTCCAAAATAGAGTTGAATATAGATATATTTTCTATTCAGCCATGTCTTATGGCACGTACTGCTTATAGTATGCATTTCTTATCACCTGAAAATTTCCCAGCATCAGGATGAAGATATCAGACACCCTCCAAGCAGGACATCTCAGGATGGGGGCGACTATGGCCTTGGCTATGGTGCATATGATGTATACATTGCAGCTGCAACCATGTTTGGAGCTTTGGGCCCACCAACACGGTATGATCATCCAGGATCAGCTTATGGAAGTAAGTCCTTCGATCATCGTGGATCAGCTTATGGAAGCAGTCCTTTCTTATGAAGTGTAATCCATATTTGACATACAAGAAACTTCATCTGTGGATTGAGTACCATTTCTGTTTGACTTACATTGAAAAGGAGGATACTCTGGATCCCCTCCAGAAACGGGCAAAAAGATATTTGTTGGCGGGATTCCACAAGAAGCAAACAAAGATGACCTAAGGAATTACTTTGGCGGATTTGGCCGGGTCGCAAATGTGTTTATTCCAAGGGTGAGGCTAAGACTTCCATCATCTGTGTCTGTATGGCGTTTCCCTTTTGTTTTCTTAATTTCTATGTTTCTCTTGTAGGATCCTAAAGGAAGTGGCCATCGAACTTTTGGTTTTGTCACCTTTTCTGATGAGGGTGTGGCAGATAAGGTAGCTGACAAAAGCCATGAAATTCTTGGATGTAAGGTAAGGCTGTGGGTGCTTCCTTGTCATTGCTCCCCTTTCATCTAATGGAGGGAAGTATGATTGCCTTGGCCCAGCTTTCATTTGGACAGAAAATTTCTGAACTTCCATAATTTCAGGTCACAGTAGACATAGCTGCACCGCCTAGGGGTGATTCCAGTGGTCGTTTCGCTGACCCCATGCCCGGCGTGGACCTTCATGCACCACCTTACGGCTCAATGCGGCCTTTCGGCATGTTCTGCGGCAACCTGGGTTATGACGTAAGTAGAAAAATCCGTTCCACGTTACATAGTAGGTTTATGTATAAATTGATCTGCTCAAGTAGGTTCCTTCAAAACAGAAAACTTAGACTTTAAACTGGTTCTTTTGTAGTTTCCACCAGTTGTTTCTTAAACATATATACAGCAGCAATCCTCTAACCAAATGCTTTTCATCTTCCAGCGAGGCTATGGTCCCGGCGGAGGCGGCAGCAGATCGAGAACGGATGGGCGGCATCGACCTTACTGATCCGGCCCGTGCTCGTCTCGTTGATGTTAAATGCGTCCCTGTTTGGTGATGATCTCACTGGTACTGGTAGTCAGCTGATTCTGGACTTGGGGTGGTGCTGTGTTTTCCTAGCTGTGTATTGTTGCATCTTTTAAACTTGTTTTGCTGGTTGGTCCGGGGGTCGTAGTCAGCGTCTCAAACTAACCTGGGCGTGTCATTGTGTGAACCTCACAAACCCCTGTTGCATTACCTCTGATAGTGGAATCCGTGGTGTCGAATCGTATGGAAAGAAGAACAAGTCTATCTCTAGGTGAATCGTGTAAAGAAATGGCAACTCTTTAGGCTGCTAGCTTGTACTGTAACTAGGTAACCTCATCTGTGCCTTGAGTGGGATGTTTGTTATGGTTATTTTGCAGTCGAAACACACATATGGGGTTTCTGTGCCGCATTCGGTGCGAAGGGAGTGAAGAGAATGATCGATGCAGATGTATAGAGTTGTGTGGAGGCATTCTCTCTAATTACATTTTGTACAGAAAATAAAAAGATCTGCTCGCTTAAAAATATGAAAAATATTTACAACACTAATGATATATGTATCTATTGTGCCATAAAATTTCAAATCGAACTCAATCTGAATGTTGAGAGAAAAAAGGGACAAATTCAACCTGATGTTGAGGCCTGAATTCATAGCCAAGCTCATTTTAGGTTCAATTCAGAGATAGATTAGCCTTTTTTGGTTTGGCGATGGAGTATGTTTGGAACTTGGATTACAAAAAATTTGAGACTTGATGGATACATGCTTTGCCGAGTACTTGGAAACCTGGGAGTACTTGATACGTTCGCGGGGTTTGTGTTTCTGTCAGGTTCAGGGAACTGAACTGACAAACATGGACAGCTAACGATGAATTCATACAACAAGTAGCTAGTTTTGGGGAGTAAAAAATCAGAACTTGGTGCAATCTTAGTTACAACTATAGGCCAACTAGGAACACTGACGGCCATGGTTTAACCAAGTACATCATCAATACAGTATACAAGTCTTTAGAATGCTTGCTTTAGAGCCTTACAGTTAAGTGAAATGTCAGAAAAATAAGGGAGCAGGTAAACAGCAAAGCATGGGGTGTTTCTTGTGAAAAGTAAAGAGCGACATCCAGAAGCTTGGCCGCCGTCCGATTGAAGATCGACGTCATCATGGTCCGTTTTTCACCCGCAAAGTGGTTACTGGTCTGACAGATGTAGGATCGAAGATGGACGGTGGCCGGCCGCTGACGCCCCAAAAGGTATTATGAAGTTTAGATCGTAGCTGAACTCCGATCAAGTGTTGAGTCCTCAGATATTCAGACACGCTCCTGACAGTTTCTGATGTCATGAACACAGAATATCATCCATAAAACAGCATAATGTCATAAAACAAACACTTTTTCTCGATAAGATAAATACAAACTGCCACTTGTAATTAAGTTAGTCATCAGTAGGATCTACTAGTAGCTCTGTTCCCCGGGCGACCAGTAGTCCATCAACTCTGACGCAACACTTGCCGCCATCTTCTCCGTTTGGTCAAATACGCCGCAACCGATCCCGAGTAGGTTTAGCAACACGCCGAATCTGCATGCCGGCACGGCGCCGCGGTGGATCGTTTTCGTTTCCACTCCACTCCACTCCCTCCCTTGACTCCCCTGCTATACTTCTACGTTCTACCAAACGCTAGCTAACCCAAGGTAGAGGAAGCAGAGGAGATCGGTCGATGGCCGCGCCGCCGCGCTCGGTGGCGGCGGCCATCTCCGTCGCGGAGGCGGACCGGGCACGGCTACACCAGCTGGGGTACAAGCAGGAGCTGAAGCGCGGGCTCAGCGTGGTCTCCAACTTCGCCTTCTCCTTCTCCCTCATCTCGGTGCTCACCGGCGTCACCTCCACGTACAACACCGGGCTGCGCTACGGCGGCCGGCGTCCATGACGCTCGGGTGGCTGGTGGTGGCGTCGTTCAACGGCTGCGTCGCGCTGTCCATGGCGGAGATCTGCTCCGCCTACCCGACCTCCGGCGGGCTCTACTACTGGAGCGCCAAGCTCGCCGGCAACAAGTGGGCGTCCCATGCCTCCTGGGTCACCGGCTGGTTCAACATCGTCGGACAGGTACACCTCGATCTTCGTAGGACAGAATCTCTGGCTCTCTGATGATGCATACATGCAGTGAACTCCTTGTTTTTTTTCTATATTTTTTCAGTTTTTTCATTTTTGACCTGTTGCTGACATGGTCTAGCCTCCTGTTTTGACTGACTGTGGCAGTGGGCGTCTACGACGAGCGTGGACTTCTCGCTGGCGCTGCTCATCCAGGTGATCATCCTGCTCGGCACCGGCGGAGCCAACGGCGGCGGCTATAGGGCCTCCAAGTACGTCGTGCTGGCCATCTACGGCCTCATCCTCGTCCTGCATGGCCTCATCAACAGCCTCCCCATTCACTGGCTTTCCTGGTTTGGCAAGTTCGGTGCTTTCTGGAATGCCGCAGGTACTGCCATTCCTGGTTTGTTCTAACTGTCCATGATCAAAATCTGTTGTGTCTGTAATCTGTATCTCATATTAAGAGCCATAACTGCTTGCAAGTTGAGGTTTCGATAACATGTCTTTTGTGGAACTTCGAAATGCTATGATATAAGAGAAAAGTGATTCTACCATGCACGGGATATCCAGTGCATGGCTAAACCGTCCATCTTGTTAGAGATTCACTCATGCCATGTATTCATTCTCATATTAAAATCCATCTGACAACTTTATGGAGCAAAGCTGCACCTACTAGTTCTCTCTCCTATACACTAGTATGTGACGTGGATTTTATTTTGAATCTAAACTTTAAACAACCATATACTTTAAAATAAATACAGGGTAAATAGTCTGTATGAACGCATGTCTTTCTTTCAATGATATCTTCAAAACAAGTTCAATATTTCATATGTTTTGAGTTTTGAGTTTACAAATCACAATGGAACATGCATGTACAGAATATTACATGATGGTTTTTGTGTGGATATATAAGAATGTTCTCTTCTTGCATACATAGTAAGTTTATTAATAACAACGGAAAATAATTGTGCAAATTCACAAAAAAAGATCTAACAATCATAGTTTTTGTAGTTTCATGAAGTTTTAAAATTCATGTTCAAAAATGTTTAAAATTCATAGTTTTTGTGGTCACCGGGAAGAAGATGGGCAGCGCGTAGGAGATATACAACCCTAGCGTAGCGATCGACAACATCGCATACGAGTGTATCAACCTAGTGCAGTTTCCTGTTTGAGATTAGGAAAACTCTCTAATTCACCCGACTGATTTTTGGTCTCGTAAATCCCTGTGTCCACGCGCCACGTGCCCCGCATGAAGCTGCCCGCCTCTTTCCCAACATTATCTCTAGCGAAAGAGCGCCAAGCGTGTAGCATTGCTACGTTTGTCAAGCGGCAGAGGAGAAGCACCACCCAGATTTGGCACCACCACAGCGGAGCGGAGAGGACGCCAGTCGGGCGTCGCCTGGTTCATCCTCACGCCGCTCGGGCTGCAATAGAGCACCGAGCGAGCTTGTCGAAGCTCCGCCGTGGCTGCACTGAAGCGCCACTGGAGCTGCATCATAGCTTCCACCGTTGTCGGGGCTGCAATGGAGCACGTCTGGGGTTATTGGAGCCCCGCCATGACTGCAATGGAGCTATGATGGAGCTTCCCCGGGACGTCGTCGGTGTTGCAAAGCTTTTTTTTCATCGGCTTCGGTGCTGCTCCGTTGGAGCTCTTCGGTGGCCCCAGTGGTCGAGGTCGCCGGCGGCAGCACCACTGTGGGTGCATCGTTGCTTTGCTGCACCATCGATGGGGGCGGTGTAGCTGCAATGCAACTTCCATGAAGGCACCGGCGAGGGGAGCGGTATAGCTGCGACGGAGCACCGGGCCATGCTGCGGTGAGGTTGCAATGGAGCATTTCCGGGAGTCGTCATGGTGCTATGGAGCTGCGACAGAGCATCGTTGGACCGCCGGTGCTGCGTTAGAGCGGGCTGTGGAATGCTGCGTGGGAGCATCGTCCATGGTATGATGGTGAGGCTATTGCGACCAAAAACGACACTCCGGCGAACGACGGCACTACACTACCGGCTAGTACCGGCCGGCGAGTAGCTGCTGCGACCAAAACGACACTCCGGCGAATGACGGCACTGCATTGCCGGCCCGAGGAGCTGCTGCTCGAACGACTAGGCACTGCGATAAAAAAAAGGTCGGGAGGGAACCTTCATCGCGCTTGCTGAGATGTGACGCAAGAGGAGGATGCGAAGAGAGACGAGGGAGACGCGCTCATGCTAGCCTACGATCTAACGGCCATACAGAGAGTGGAATTTCTACCATGCACCAGACCTCCAGTGCATGCATGCATGCATGCACATTTTTTTATTTTTTCTGTGGGCCCATTGACATGTGTTATTCTCTAGTCATTAAGTTTCATTCAAAAAAATAGATGCCTAGTACATTTTGAAATAAAAATTTGTTTTACTTTCTGTTTACACAAATGTGTTTGTTTGGCAAGATCTTTAAAACAAGACTAATATTGATATGTTTTTTGCAATAAAATTTTTTTGACAACTAAATCGCTGGGCTTCAAACTTGTTTCATCAAAATTTGCTAATTCCATGGGAAAAGTTCAATAATGTTTCTGGTGACGTGGCCTTTGAAACAAAAACATTCTTGAATATATTTTGACAAGATTTGAAATTTAAGTCTTCAAACATGATAAACATTATGAAACTATTAACCCCAAAAAAGATTATGAAATATTATGCAACCATCGACGACGTTTTTTATTGTGAGTGACTGATTGGTATGGCCACATTAATGGAATACGGCAGATGGATTGAGCAATAATAATAAAGTATGCATGCATGAAAATGAATCTCCAACAAAATAAACGGCCAGCACATGCATGGGATATCCCATGCATGGTAGATATGCTTTTCTCCTGCCATGCACGTCTAGGGCTGATCTTTCAAAAATTCAGCCGGCTTACGCGTAGCAGCCGCCTTGAGATTAACATAAGATATACTTGAATGACCGGTCCTAGTCCGCCCCCGAGGAAATGGTACACACGATTGAATGACAGGATATGGAGCAGTATAATAAGAGTTCCTACATGGCTGCCTTGATGCACGAACGGCGCCGCAACCGTGGATCATTTCCCCTTCTTTTGACTCCTTGTAGTACACCAACCAAACGCCATTTCTCACAAGCTCAACTGCCCAAATAGTACTAGCGCCTCGGCCAAGCAGACGCGGTCGATATGGCCGTGTCGTCGCGCTCCGCCGTCGTGGCAGTCACCGACGCCGGCGCCGGCGAGGACGCAGACCGAGCCCGGCTGCACCAGATGGGGTACAAGCAGGAGCTGAAGCGCGGGCTCAGCGTGCTGTCCAACTTCGCCTTCTCCTTCTCCATCATCTCCGTGCTCACCGGCGTCACCTCCACGTACAACACGGGGCTGCGCTACGGCGGGCCGGCGTCCATGACGCTGGGGTGGCTGGTGGTGGCGGCGTTCAACGCCTGCGTGGCGCTGTCCATGGCCGAGATCTGCTCCGCCTACCCGACCTCCGGCGGGCTCTACTATTGGAGCGCCAAGCTCGCCGGCAAGAAGTGGGCGTCCCTCGCCTCCTGGGTCACTGGCTGGTACTACTTAATTACTCAATCGCATTCATATTTTTTTGCGGTTGCAATCGCATTCATATTGGTATAGTATGTTTGGCTGTTCATGCTTTTTTAATTAGATTCGTGAGCAGGAATGGGTGATTTTGATATGCTGTTCTGCTTGGAATTATCTCTTCATTGCATTGGATAAACTGTAGATACATATGATCTGTCATTTAGTTAGCAGTTTGCTCAAAATTTTGATATCCACAGACTCGGCCATATATCCTCTTCCACAAAGCAAATTATTAGAAATAGTTCTCTCTCCAAGGTTGCCATACATCTCTTTCACAAAGCAAACTATTAGAAATAGTTCTTTTTCCAGGTTTGATCTTAGCTTTTTTTTTTTTCGAAAAAAGGTTTGATCTTATTAGCTATGCTCTGCTTTTACAGGTTCAACATCGTGGGTCAGGTACTTCAACTTCTAGGCTCCTTTACTATCTCTACATTTGTCTGCAGCTTCAAGTACACTCCCTTTTCTACAAGAAGTATAGTACTCCCTCCAGTCCATAATAAGTGTGGCAGTTTTAAACTAATGTTGAACTAACCTTAGTTCAAAACCATGACACTTAGTACTTTAGTACGTTGATCTATAAGTATTGGTAGCTAGTATACTTGAAGACAGTAATCTATCTATAAGAAACTTAATGCATGCATGTGGCCGTCCAGAAAGACCATTGGATACTTGGATAAAAAAATAACGGCAGCGTGTTCGGAACGGAGATCTTCCACGTCCCTGTCGATTTTCAACGGAGTGGACTGACCACTGAGGCTGTGAACTCATACTTCAATCAAGGAACAGATAAAACTAAATTATTGGCAAGTTGCTGACACAGTCCAGCCTCTTCTTTTGACCGTCCTGCCTGCCTGCCTGCCTAGTGGGCGACGGCCACCAGCGTGGACTTCTCGCTGGCGCAGCTCATCCAGGTGATCATCTTGCTGGCCACCGGCGGCACCAACGGCGGCGGCTACGTGGCATCCAAGTACGTCGTCTTGGCGATCTATGGCTTCATCCTCATCCTGCATGGCCTCATCAATAGCCTCCCCATCCACTGGCTCTCCTGGTTTGGGCAGCTCGGCGCTTTCTGGAACGCGGCAGGTATACTCATATTATTTTGATCATTGCCTTGTTTGGATATGCATTTTATTTTGATTTTGCATGCATATTTCATACGTTAGTACACATCATACTGTAGTACACATCAACTTTTGTTAGTCTTTGATTGTTGGTGTGTGCCATCAACTAGTCTTTGATTGTTGGTGTGCCTGTACTCTCTGAACAATGGTAGGTGTGCTTGTGCTGGTGATCTTGATTCCGTCTGTTGCCAAGGAGAGGTCGAGTGCCGACTTCATCTTTACGCACCTCAACACGGACAATGGCATGGGCATCCATAACAAGGCTTACATTCTAGGCGTGGGGCTGTTGATGAGCAACTACTGCATGATCGGCTACGATACATCTGCTCATATGGTACATGACAATCGATGTTAATTAATTCCAACATAAACTTTTGTTGATTACTTAGACCATGTACTCACATATGGATTCCAATTAGAACATGCCCTGATTTCTAGACATCGATTGCACTACACCATCCTCGACGTTGATATAACTAAAGATCTAATGATCGGGATGTTCTTGCTTAATTATGTATATTGATATATATGCAGACAGAAGAAACGAAGAACGCCGATAGGAGCGGTCCGATTGGGATTGTCACTTCGGTCGTTCTCTCAAACATCTTTGGGTGGATTTACCTGGTGACCCTGACTTCAGTGGTGACAGACATCCCGTACCTGCTAAGTGCCGATAATGATGCTGGCGGCTATGCCATCGCTCAGGCTCTGCACACCATATTCAACCAGAGGTACGGCAGTGGTGTTGGTGGGCTCGTGTGCCTCGGCGTCATTGCTGTCGCCATGTTCCTCTGTGGTGTTGCGAGCATCACGAGCAACTCAAGGTTCGTC